CTGGGCTGAGCTCTGACTCTAACCCTTCACCTCCTCTCCATCTGCCTCAGTATTTCCCTTTCCACTGCATCTCCATCGTCCCATGCCCTGGAGTCACCAGAGGGGCTGGAAGGGTCCCCAGGTCAGCACTGCTGCGGACGGGAAAGGGAGCAGCCCACAAATGCCCAAAGACAGACAGTCACTTCCCTGGGACGCTGTGGCTTTGACAGTGATGTCATTATGGGGGTAACCCCAAAAGCACAGGTGACAAAAACTCAAGAAGACAGATGAGACTGTGAAAAAATGAAGAATTTTTGCACAACCAAGGAAGTGACCAGGCAGGTGACAAGGAGAGAAGGGACAGGGTCAGATGTTCACAAATATAGACACACGTGGATCAGGGCTGGTCATCCAAAGTGCACAAGGGACACAGATTTCACACCAAGAAACAACCTGTTAAAATGGACCCGAGTAGATATTTCATTGAGGAAGATTCCTGTGGACAGCAGGTGCATCTTAAAACACTCCACGTCACTAGTCAACAGGAATGTGCAAGACACAACCACAAGGGATGTCCCCAGTCCCCTGCTAGGACACTCAGTGTCAAACAGAGAAAAGATGAGTGTCACTGTCTACAGAGGAAGGAGTCGTGCCCAGTGTCTGTGGGGTGTCCCTCAGCAGAGCCGCCCTGTGGAAGAGCACAGCCCCAACCCTGAGAGAAGGACCCGCCCAGGATCCAGCAGGCCCACTGTGGGGGTCAATGGCCACAGCAAGAAATGAGCTTGTCAGAGAGACGCCTGCAGCCCACGTCCATTGCTGCACTGTCCACAAGAGCCAAGGCAGGGAGCCAGCCTGTGTGTCCACCAGCGGTCATTTGTATATGAAGAGGTGATGGACACACACACACACACACATACACACAGGTGACATTCTAGCCTGGACCTGAAGGAGGACCAAGACGTCCAAAGGCAAGCGGGGGAGGATCTCCTTGTCAGGAGCAGTGGCCCTCGAGAGACGAGGGACGTCAGGTTTCCAGACAACCCAGTGGCTCCCAGGACAAGATGCAGCGCTCAGCTCGCGGGTTCCCCTCCCCCAGCAGGAGCTCAGGTCTGCTCCACTCTCCTGGCTCCTCATATTCCAGGGTCATCGCGGGTTGGCTGTGTCCCCAGGAGCTCCTTTCATGACGACCACCCACGTGGCTTCTGTGGACAGGTCTCTACACAGTCACCAGGTGACAGTGGGGTTTCTGTCAGGCCTGGTGACAGTGACAGAAAGCTGCTCTAAATATAGAAACACAAGGACAAGCCACTTATTGTGTGGAGGAGAGTCCCCATGTCACTTGGTGAAGATTTGGGAGAGGTTGGCGTGATCCCTGGCAAGAGTGTAGGTTCCCATTTAGGTGACATCTCCCAACTCCTCCCCGTGGGGCGGTACCACTCATTGTCCCGCTGACAGCCTTGGGGAGCTCTGGTGGCTGCAGGTCCTCTCCAGCATTTGGGGACGGGTGTCCCTAATCTTATGTCATGTTAACCCTCCTTGTTCCTTTGTGAAGGTTTCCTTGGTGCGTTACAGTTGTGCCTGAGAGCAGGGTCCCTGGGACACCGTCATCTGGGCAGGGAAGGTGACTGGCTCCACTCAGTCCCAGAGCTGTGTCCCCCCTCTGTCCTCCACCTGTCCCCTCCCCCACCCACTGGGCTCTTCTACTGATTCACTGTCCTCTCATTGGGGCTCTGTTGGAGCAGGAGA